TGATCTAGCAGTAGCCTGCAGTGCTGCATTTAACCACTGCGCCACCTTGGCTCTTAGTTGAAAGAGACCTTGAAGGTCTTCTAGTCCAACCCCCTACTTAGGTGAGAAACCCTGTATATTTCAGAGAAATCCAATATCTACATAAAACCTTCCAGTGTTGGAGCATTTACAACTTCTGGAGGCAAGTCTTTGGACTGATTGTTCTGTCAGGAAATTTCTCCTTAGTTCTAAGTTGCTTCTCTCCTTAATTAGTTTCCACCCATTACTTCTTGTCCTGCCTTCAGGTGTTTTGGAGAATAACTTGACTCGCTCTTCTTTGTGACAGCCCCCGAGATACCAGAACACTGCTATCATGGCCTTCTTTTCATCAAACTAAACATACTCAGTTCCTGCAACCGTTCTCCATATGTTTTAGCCTCCAGTCCCCTAATCATCTTTCTTGCTCTTCTCTGTACTCTTTCTAGAGTTCACAACATCTTTTTTTACATCATGATGACCAAAACTGGATGCAGTATTCCAAGTGTGGCCTTATCAAGGCATTATAAAGACGTACCTGCTATGATGTTCTCCTGATGATGCTCCCGTTGGCATCCCTTACTTACTGTAAATATATTTATTTATATGAAACTGCTGATTGACAGTGTCTCCATTTGGACACCAGCTGTGCAATTCCCTGACCATGAAGATACACCTGGTTGTAATTGCAGAGACAGTGATAAATCACCCACTCGGGATTAATTGGAGCATAGGTTACTTAGTATGTATACTGCAGGTCAGGAGAAGTGCAACTTTGAATTATGTAATATTTAGTTTGGTTGAATTGTAAATGGATATCATGTGACACAAAATTTAGTTAATGTCAGGTTACAATGTATACAGTTAAGTTTATTATATGTATAGTTGTTTTATCTATAAATGTAAATTGTTTTAAGCATATTCTTGTTCTTCTTTACTCGGATATTTCATTATGACTCATACACCATATTACATTTTTCTTGCCTATTTCCAGCAGGCAAGGAAACAATTAGCCTATTTTCCATAGAAATACCACAACAAATAATATAAATTTAATGTCATTTCTAATGGGATTCATTAATTGCACTAATGAAGACTACCTTATCTCCTTGCCCTGATCTGTGGTTAATTCTCTTCTCCTGTATCCTCCATGAACTGTCATCTCATCCCCAGCCCATCACAAGATTGTAGGAATTTGGCTCTCCAAAGGTTCTCACTAAAAATAAAAAGTCCAGTGTTGTATGTGAGAAATCTTTCAGCAATAAATTGAACTTTAAAACTCCTTGGAAACTCCACATTGGAGAGAAACCCTTTCAGGGCTGCGAGTGTTGAAAGAGCTTCAGTAAAAGCAAATCTCTCATTTACCATCTGAGGTTCCACACTGAAGAGAGACTGAACCCGTGTTCAGATTGCGGGAAGAGCTTCAATGTGAGCTAAATACCATGCTTCTCATCAAACAATTCACAAAGGGGAGAAAGTTTATTTTTTTCAAATGTGCATGTATTTTTAGCTTATTTTGATGACTGATTGCTTCAATGGCCAACTGTCAGGCCTATTCTTTCCAGTCATCAAACAGGCAAATAAAACAAGCCATGCAAATCTGTGGAGTCTAGAATAAATATAAAAAAGAGTGACTAACAACTACATGTAGAATAAGGTGACCAGACGTCCCGCTTTTGGCGGGACACCTCCGCCTNTATTTTCAAGGAGGTCTTATTATTTTTGAGGTGCAGGAGGCGGTGAGCGTGGTCACCTCATGGCTGCTGCTGTGTTGCAATATTTTGGGGGAGGGTTTATTTTCAGGGGTGGGCTTATTTTAGCGCATGTGCTCAAAAGTCCGATTGGGCTTATTATCCGGGGAGGTCTTATTTTCAAGGAAATCTGGTATTACTTGGAGGGGGTTGTCACATTTTTCCACTTTTTTGTTATAGCACTTTTTATGCTTTTTAAAAATTTGATGATGTATCACTTTTTTGTATGTTGCTTTTCTTTTTCTGTTTTGTTATTAATATTAAAAGCAATATAAATAAATGCAAAACTTAGCAAAAGTCTATTTTGGTTCACAAAAAAACATTTATACATCTAAAATGGTTTTCTTTTTCTCCCATCCAGGGCTTCAACAGAATGCCTAGTCTTACGACACGATACCTTTGGCCAAGAATAACCCGAATTTGTCTCAGGGACTTGATCTTTTGTCTGGAACAAGAGAAAGAAACAAAGCATTCTCTAATCTTATATCAAGCTCTTCTGAAATAGTGGCTAGTCTAATTCTGCATTTCAGCTTACCATACATTGCCAAAGAACAATTTGTTTGCACTATCCTGAAATCATATATTACAAGAAATTGTTCGTAAGGTCATTGTTGAATGTAGGCAATGCTGCCTGGACATGTGGAAGAGAAAAGGCTTTGGATGCCTGCTAAATTCCATGCGAGATACTGTATTAGTATATAAATCCGCAATATTATTCCATGAAGTGTGTGCCTTCTAACATTGCAGTTAGTGAAGAATGACGTGATGAATGTATTTAATGACAAACTAGCAGTTTGCTAGTGCATAGCCTGCAGGATTCAGCCTTCCTGCGTATCCTAGAGAAACCACCTGGGAGCCAACTAAAAAGTGTCAAAATGCGGGCTATAATTTCCTGCCTCAAAAGAAAGATGGAAAGGAAAGAATCCCTACCGGAATTTTTTGTGTTGCCAGTCCTACCAGACAGATCTGCAAGCAAACTACAGATGTAAGAGTTGGAGAAAGCAATATTTGAAAAGTCAAAGTAATTTTGTGGGATAGTTCATAGGACCGTGGCCCATCCATTTTCAGCATGATGACTTCATTTGCATATGCATTTGTGTGATTTTAAAGTCTCCTAGACAGAATACAAAGTGATTTCATCTCATTATGGGAAAGGAGAGAATATATATATATATAGGCTAAGACGTCTGCCTAATATGTAATATAGCTCAGGTTCGAATCCCAATAAGGGTATGGCTAACTGATGAGAGCTAAATAGCTTGAAATAGATCTATGCTAGTCTCCCTCTATTTATTTATCAGCACAAATAAAACATATATATATATATGTATATGTATATGATGTATATGTATGTATGTATAGATTATCAGGGATCTTCT